AGTGCTAAAGGGGCATGGAGGCAGCATCTTCTTACCTCCTCTAACTTCACAAGAGGAAGGTAGAATCACCATCAGCAGCCCTAGGCCTGTTCCTATGATGCCAGACATGCTGTCATCCTCTAGCCCTCTTACCAACCTTGACACAAACTGTCCCTCTTGCGGCACCCACCACCTCTCTTCTGGGTTCAATAATTCACTGCAGTGGCCGCAAGAACTCACAGATTATGGGGTTTATTAGGGAAGCAACAGGTTACAATTCAAGTTAAGGAACGCACTCAGGATACAGGTCTTTGATCAAGACAGTGGAGATTCTGCTGTGTCCTTAGACACACCTCTCTGGCCCTTGGCTTCTCAGCTTCTGTGGGCCGGGTAAGCCTGCTGCTCTGTCTCGTGCCTCTTGATTCCACTGCTGCCATTTCTTAGCTGGGTGTCTCTCTCAGCTGGCAGTGATATTCTCCCTCTGCCGCTAGGAGGGCTCATTTTAAGCCTCGCAGAGTGGCAGAACTAACCAATCCCAGCATCAGAGTTCTACACACCTGAGTGAGAGAGCGAACTTTCCCAGAAGATTACTTCGTGCTGCTCCAACAGAAATACCCCAAGTGGATGACTTTAACAATCGGGAATTTAAAGCAGCTACTCAGTTGCTCATGGCAAATTCCATAACGGAGTTAATTGCCAGTCTCATTATAGGGAATAACTACTACCAGGTGCCCAGCCAAGTTGACACACATTTACATGGACCCACCCAGTAATCCAGTGGGGAGTTACAAAGACTATGGCTAGAAAAGCCATACCATGTAATTCACTACACCACAATAAGTAATTAAAATAATGTAAAAAATTTTCATTACTGTAATTTAAATTCTTAATTAATTGCAATTTATAACAATTTCATGTAGTATCCTCTTGTGATATCTTGATACTACATTGATCTTTCAGTATCTTCATAGTCAAAAATTCTAGTGAATCACTTTTGTTTTAGTAATTGTGTATAGTTCTTCTTATTGTCATGAGTTAGTTAGGCTTTTTACAGTTAATATTTTCCAGCAGGGTTAAGTAGAAGAAAGGTTTACATGAGTGTATCATTATATATCCTTATCTAATTTATAGTAAGTACATTTACATGGTGGTTTCATTTCTCTCCTACAAAGAGAAGAGTATTAAGCGTGCCACTTTACCCTATGGAAGACCCAGGATTTTCCAGAAGAACAGCACTGTCTGTCTTCTTTATCACCATCAGTTTGTGAGTGGTTACAGCCATGACATCCTAATGCCCCTTTGGACGTCCTACACCATTGGCAGAAATGCAAGTATTTGTCACCTCTTTAGCTTTGTGTGGCTATTTAAAATTATAATCATTAAGAAAAACATTGAAAGCATAGTTTCTCACTGTTTATCTTGGTTCTGTGATAAGTTTTGAAATTGGAAGAAAACCAGCTTAGAGTGAGAAAACTTACGTTCCAGTTCTAGCTCTGCCACTAACTAGCTATTTAACTTTGAGGCTTATATAGAGTAAATGTCTTTTCTTGTGAAATGAAGGGTGTGCAGTAAATAATTCTCTTTTTTTCCAGCTTTAATATTCTATTATTTTAATTGATAATTTCATGAAGTTAGTTTACAGTCAGTTACAATTATTTATCTCTAAATAGATAGCTGTGTGAACACAAGAATTTGGTTAAGGGATCTCACTTATTCAAGAAATATTTTGAGAATATTTATTAGTGACTGGAAGTGTGTGTGTGTCTGTGTGCATGTGTGTGTGTTTCTTACAGGAACCAGATTCAGACTTTATTTACTGCCTCAGAATTTGAAGAGCCCAAGTTGATGCTAGCAAGCACTGAGTTTTCAACTTTCTAAAGAGGGCAACCAACATTTTACACAGACATCTTCCCCCAGTGCTAGCTGAGACTGCAGAACTGTTCCTACATTCACCAACTACTGCTCTCATCTCCACTAAGGTTGACGGATACAGTACAAATATTGGATGGGACTTACTCATATTAAAAATTCTTCATTGTTTATCTGAAATTCAGATTTAACTGGATGACCTTTATTTTGTTGTTGTTGTTACATTTGGCAACCCAAACCCCTACATCCTAGTTCCTAATAAGAAGTTCTCACCTATCAGTGAAAGAAGGGAAAAGTTTGCTGCCTTTTCACCAAACCAAGTGATTGGGGAGGCTCTCAGAATCTCCCTTATAGCAGTAGCAAGCTTGGTGTCTTACGGGGTAAAAAAAAAACCTCAGTGCTGTCAAGTCGATTCGACTCATAGAGACCCCTCGTTGGGTTTCTGAGACGGTATCTCTATGGAAGTAGATTGCCCAGTCTTCCTTCTGAGGAGTGGTTACTGAGTTTGAACTGCCACCCTTCTGGTTAGCATCAAATGCCTTAGACACTACACCACCTGGTGCTAATCCAGAGCCTTTAGACTACCTAATGCTGTCATTTGGAATGGAGCATGGTGAGGGATTTTTTTGGATCCTTGATTATATTATCTGGAATTTGGTATATACAGACTAGGGTCTGCCTCATGCATACATATATCTAACAGTAAACTATTTGTTGGAGCAGCCAGTGCAAACCCCTGCTAATAGGGACTATGAAATCCTGCCCCAGGAAGAGCAGGAAGTGGGTGGAAGGTGTATATACCTCAGTTTCCAGAAGTCTTCAGGAGGAAGGGCAGAAGAGGACCTCTGCAGCTTCCATAGCAGTTCCTGTGATAGAGCTTAGAGGCTATAAATGGGGACGTAAGCTCCTGTGCTTCAAGAAAACTAGAGTCGGATGAAGCAGGGGATTCTATGAGCATGGTCTGAGTGCAGCTTCATTCTCTAACACTCATAGGTGCAAGATATTTGCCTCACCTAAGTTGTTAGGCTACTAGACTTGTAGGTACCTGAGAGTAAGTAAGACTTGAAGCAGAGTCCCTAGAGATAATTGGTTTTCACTTTATTATTTCTCCTATAGATCAAGACAGTAGAGAACCAAGCAGAATCAAAGGGTAAGCAGGTCACCAAAGTGTAGCAGATCCCAGCAAGAGCCTGGTATTTTGGGATTTATTGGTCCCTGCACAAGAAACTAAGCAGCTCTGGTGGCATAGTAGTTAAAGTATTAGGCTGCTAACCAAAATGTTGGATGTTCGAACCCACCATCTGTTCTTCAGGAGAAAGATGAGGCAGTCTGCTTCCATGACGATTTACAACCTTGAAAACCTGATGGGACAGTTCTACTCTCTCCAGAAGTGTTGCTATTAGTCTGAATTGACTCCGTGGCAGTGGGTTTTTGGGTAGGTAGGAGAAACTTCGTAGTCCTACTAATCCCAGAAGTCAGAGAGGGCTGCCCCTAAGACCAGGAAAAAATGAGGAAAGTGGTAAATAGAGAAATTTCCTCCAGGTGCCTCACTTGCCTAAATCCCAAGGACTCTTCACTGAAGGATGTGGCATTATATATAGCTCAGAGCTCTGATAGCATAGTGCCTAAGGCACTTGACTGCTAACCAGAAGGCTGGTGGTTCAAACCCACCAGACACTCCTCAGAAAGAAGGTTGGGCAATCTACTTCCGTAGTGATACCACCTCGGAAACCCAAGGAGGGGTCGCTATGAGTTGGGTCCAACTCGATAGCACATAACAACAACAACAGCGACCACCACTGCATGGATCACCATGGGAAGACCCCCAGATGAAACTAGGAGGAGGCTGAGAATCCTCTCCACCATCAAAGCCAGAGGAGTTAGGCCTTAAAAGGAGCGGGGCCCAAAAAGTCCTTAATAAGGCCAACGTTCCACCCTCCTGCCCCAGCCCCTCAGATGTTACGCTGGAAAGAGAAATCATGAAGAATGTATACCTTGAAACAGGGAAGCAGAGGGGATAAGGTTTCGATTTTACATGAACTGAAGTTTTAAACTGGACTGACTGGACTTTCAGAAACTAGAAGCAACTGGAAAATTGTAGGATGCCCTTAAGTGATATGGTAGGGGATTTGAGAGAGTATCAGAGGATTAACAGTTGGATTTAAAAAATGAAATTATGAGATTGCTAAAATGCAATGATAGACATGTGTGTCCATGTATCTGTGTGTTATCTTTGTTAAGAATGTATTACACACACACACATATTCCTACATTTACATAGTTAGTACTTTAAACTTGATATTTAAGTTTTTTCAAGACTTTATCTTAATTTACTCTTACTCTTTACTTTTCACATGGCTTTGTAATATAGACAGTTTTCACAGTGTTTTGTAGGCTTCCCGTCCTATTGATTGTTGTTTAATACCTTAATTATAGTTTTCTATGATTCCATTTGAATTTTAAATTTTCTTAAATAATTAATATTGCATAAATTCACACTTATAACCATTCTTGAGATTTTTACATTACTATCCAGTGGTTCTTCTCCCCTAACTTTTGACTTTGTAGTTGAATATGAAAGATAACCTCAGATCTCTCTGAAAATCAGTGTTTTACTGCATAAAATTTGTAAATTGTATATAAAAACATTATAAACAATATTAGTAGAGAAAAACAAAATATTTGCATATATAGAGCAAAAGATGAATATTCTTAGTGTTATAAAGAGCTTTTATATTTTAGTTAGAAAAAAGCTGAATAGTGATTAGAAAAACCATGAAGGAAATGAATAGACAGAAATGAATTCCATAATTGTGTGATGTGGTCAACTTTAATTATTTATAAAACAACCTCCTTTTAATTTCAGTACCTGATACCTGATTTTCTTTTTTCCCCATTTTTCCTTTAGGACAGTTTTTCCACAGAAGACTTTTCCAACTGTTTGTACCAGGATCTTCGAATTTCTCTTAGTCCTGTCCATAAATGCTCGTTCTATAAAAGCAACGCTAAACTGAGTTACGGCTTCCTCTCCCCACCACGTAAGTCTTATTCTTTCTCCCCTGCTTCCCCTCTGACTGTATTTTTTCTCTTCTTCTCTTCCTTTTCTTTGTTTATAAATCTATCATACATTATGGTCCATTGTACATAGCCTTATTTATTTGCTGATGAAAATTATGAATTAAAAATATAATTATTAGAGAAAAAATGAAAGCACCCAGAATGTGAATTATATAAAGCATATTTTTTAGAGTAGTTCATTTGGCACTGATACTGTAGATAGAGCACCCTTCATTTTTTTAACCAGCTTTCTTTTAAACAGAATCTGAGAAAGCTCAGTGAAATTTGAAGGATGCATCACAGTGTTTAGGACGGAGATGTAACTCTGTTGTTTAAAAAGAGAATGTGATCTGTCACAGAATCAGGAAAAGGTGGGCCCTGAAGCATGCTTGCTTTTCATTGTCACAAGGCTTCTGGGGAATGGTTATTTTGAAACCAAGTGTTCTATTTTTTTAATTTGTGAATTTGTATGTTATTTAGAAGATGTTTTGAGGCAACAGGCAGTGGCCTCCGGGTACTCAGATACCCTCAATATCCAGTCCAGTCCCCCAGAGTAAGTGTCTGAGGTCAGAACTTGGCTATATAAAAACAGATCAGGTCTGACCTTAAAATTCACACAACGAAGCCTTGTACAGCATTTTGAGGCAGACATCCTGTGATGTTTTTTTTCTGGGTAGTAGGTGTTGTTGTGAAGCCAAATAGTCTCATCTTTGCTCTTCACTATGTAGGAGCTTAAGGAAGGAAGATTGTCAGTCAACACGTAATACATTCTAGACAAAGCAAATGAGGGAAAGTTTAAATATATTTCCTTTAGGACTCTTATTCTATTCAAAGTATCTGTTTGTTGAGAAATTTATCCTGAAGAGGAAGAGATAAAAGTATTTGACTTTTTTTTTTTTTTTAAAGGAACTTGACCAGCACATTGCATTTTCCTTTGACTGGATGCCTGGGAATGTTTGCACATTAAAGATAATGCTCAGCTAATTGTCTTTAAACACCTGCATAAGAAACTATCATTTCTAATATTATTTGTTAAGAATGACAAGGCTGTCTTTTTTCTTTGTAGAAATCAACAAAGGTTCAAGTCAAATATATTCTGAAGCACTGCTTACCACTAATGTGGTGCCAATGTACCCGAGCTTTCAAGGTACACATTTTCAACCCTGTATTTGATTATTTCAGTGAATTTCTGTACATGTGGGTATAATTTGTTGTAATAGAGCTTATGATCTATAAATTAAATTACTAACTATGAAATATATCTTAAAAGTTTGTTTAAGTGTGAGAACAGTAGTACATAAAACAATTCAGAATTGTGATGTACTCCAGTATCTATTGGGACCTCTGGTGGCATAGTACCTAAGGCATTTATTTGACTGCTCACCAGAAGGCTAGTGGTTCAGACTCACGAGATACGCCTCAGAAGGAAGATTGAGTCATCTATTTGCATAGTGATACCACCTCGGAAACCCAGGGAGGGGTCGCTATAAGTCATATCCAGTTCAACAGCAGTGAGTTTTGTTTTTTTTATTTTTAATATCTACTATTGTGTTTTGTATTTGAATGTTTATAAACATTTTTTACTTAAAAAGTATATAATGTTCTTCCTAAAGTTATCTAGCTAATACAGTCTACTAATATTCATATTAATTCTCAATCTTTTTCCCTGGTTAATATTGGAAGTTCTTAATTGTTTTTATTTAAAAATTAATAGGTTTTATATCACTGTTAATCATTACAGCCTTTGACAGGAACAAATATACATTTACTGCTCAAACTGACATAGAATTTCAAAATATAGAACATAACAAGGATATTTTTATGCTAGTTTATATCTAAATTACTTGTGTATATTTCAAAGGGTATATTCAGATATTGGCAATTAAACTAAATAATATGCTTGAATTGCATTGATGATATTGTTATACTTAAGATGATATCTGATTCCAAGTTCATAATGATGCACACACTTGGGGATGCCCAAAATACAATTTAATTCAACATTTGCCTCTTAGGTTCTCCAAAGGCCAAAGCTGAACAGTAGGTTTTGGCCTCACATTAAGACAGAAGCCAAACTTTACCTTATCTCTCATTCTTTCGAATGCTCATTTTGGATCATGGTGTTAATTTGTTTTACATGACAACATGACACTTTGACCTTTTCACACTGCACTGTCTTCCTTCCTATTTCAGTTATATGGTACTACATCCATGACACTGTACTACAGAGGTATGCTGAAGAAACAAATGTTGTCAACGTTGTCAGTGGTCCTGTGTTTGACTTTGATTATGATGGACGTTATGATTCTTCAGAGACTCTAAAACAGTAAGAACATATTTCATTTACTTGTAAAAATAGTTGTCAAGTGGAATTACTATCCAGTTGGCTCAGCAGGACCTTTTTCTATCCAGTAGCATTCTTATTTATGGTTACTTGGGATATCTTGATAACATGCTACAAGGAAAGAAAATTAAAAATAGAATTAATTGAGATACAACAGATAATCCAGTTAATACAAAGGAGAATTCACAGCAATCTCTCCTGTCTGAAGGAAGTAAAATAAAAATCCTTAACCAGTTCTCTTTCTGTCCCTGCCCATAGTTTAACTGACCATCATTAACGCTTTAGAGTCTTGGTTGTATGTGTTCAAAAAAAGTTATTTTCTTTTCTGTAGTGTCTCAATTCCAGTGTTTTTAGGTAAAATTAAGAAGAAAACTCCAAAGCTGAACAAATTAGTATAGAAGATAAAAATTATTTGGGTTGAATATGTCCAACTCTCTTCTAATAATTACTATCAATCTGACAGAATATGTTATGATATTATGATTATTAATTTTTTCTACTAGTTGCAAATATATTTAATTTTTTTCTGAATTTTATTTTTCAATGTATTAAAAGCATGCTCTACTGAAATAGTCACTAAAAGGAAGATAATTATGTTTTTCTTAAAGTGAATACTGGCATATTTTACAGAAACAGCAAACTCATCCGTAATCAAGAAGTTCTGATTCCAACTCACTTCTTCATTGTGCTAACGAGTTGTAAAAATACATCGCAGACTCCCTTGCAGTGTGAATACTTAGATACATTAGCTTTCATTTTGCCTCACAGGACTGATAACATTGAGAGTTGTGTGGTAAGTAGCTTTATTAATTTACTTTAAACATTGAAAGTATAAATACATGTATATTTGTATGATGTGTATGTGTGTCACATCTGCTATTACTGCAGGAAGAAACCATAACTCTTGAATATACATGCACTTTTAAATTACAGGATGGTTTTAAATTTGATCCTCTAAGATGACTTTAGGAGCTCTGGTAGCTTAGTGTCTAAGGCACTTGACTGCTAACCAGAAGGCTGGTGGTTCAAACCCGTCAGCCGCTCTTCGGAAAGAAGATGGGGCAATCTACTTCCGTAGTGATACTGCCTCGGAAACCCAAGGAGGGGTTGCTATGAGTCGGGGCCAATCAGGGCCAACTCAACGGCACATAACAACAACAACAACAAGAATGACTTACTTTTAGAAAAGAGCGCTCTGATCATCTGTTATAGACACTGATAATTAGTCCAGAATATAAAACCCTAGAGACCTCATACGGCTTAGCCACTAAATTCTAGTTTTATTTAAAGTATGAATTTACTCTTTATTCAAAACTGGATTTATCATTCCAAAAGAATCAGCACTGTCATAAATTAGTTTTAAAGCTGTGGTTAGACAACATTTCAAATGAATTTTTTTGTGTATCAGTTTCTTTTAGAAATCATGTTTAATTAATTAATTAATCCTTAATTATCCTTTCTTATTGTCATTCCAGTGTTTGGAAACAATATTTATATTATCTTATTTATATTTGTCTTATTTTCTCTTTGAACATAAAGACTGCATTTAGTTGAAACATTTTTTAAGTTTTTTCTTACGGCGAGTGAAATTATTTTTCTTTCAGAGTATTTCTTATATTTTCTAGTTGTTTTGTGTGTATTTGTTTCTTTTTTCCATTGAAGTTACACAAGTCAGTTTAGATCAGAGTCAGCAAACAGATTTTGGCTTTCTTGTCAGTCCCGGTGGATGAGCAGCAGATATCGGGAGCCTGTGGTCAAAGGATCTTGAGGTCTGGACCGCTCAGCAAGCAAGAATGCTGTGATCGCTCATTCATTCAGCCCTCCATTCATTCATTTATCCCTTCCTTGATCTAGCATTTTAATCATATAACAGATCTTATTGCCAAGTACTATTCTAAGATTGGGGACTTAAACATATCTGCTGTGGACCATTTGCCATCCCTGATCTAGTAGTCTTCCTGTGTTTTTATCATGGTTGTTGTTTGGTGCTGTTGAATTGGTCCCTACTCGTAGCAACCCTGTGTCCAACAGAACAAAACATTGCCCAGTCCTACACCGTCCTCACCATTGTTGTTATGCTTGAATCCAGCTATTGCATCATTACATCCCTTTTTTGCTGACCCTGTGCTTTTTTGCAAGCATGATATCCTTGTCTAGGAACTGATAACAGGTCCAGAGTACATGAGACAATGTCTCTCCATCCTAGTTTCTAAGGAGCATGCTGGCTATACTTTTCCAAATCTGTCTTGTCTCTTTCTTTGTATTGTTGTTGTTGTTAGGTGCCATCGAGTCAGCTCCGACTCAATGGTGACCCATGAACAACAGAACGAAACACTGCTTAGTCCTGCGCTAACCCCAAAATCCCTGCTAAGCTTGAGCCCATCGCTGCAGCCACTGTGTCAATCCGTCACATTGAGAGGGTCTCCCCTTTTTCACTACACTCTACTTTACATGATTATCTTTCTCTAGGGACTGGTCTCTTCTGACAGCATAACCAAAGTAGATAAGATGAAGTCTGGTCATTCTCATTCCTAAGGAGCATTCTGGCTGCACTTCTTCCAGGATAGATCTGTTCATTCTTCTTGAAGTCCATTGTATGTTCAGTGTTCTTTGCCAGCACTTCAATTCAAAAGTATCAATTCTTCGATTTTCCTTATTCATTGTCCAGCTTTCATATGCATATGAGGCAATTGAAAATACCATGGCCTAGGTAAGGCGCATCTTAGTTTTCAAAGTGACATCTTTGGGCCTTAACACTTCTTTTTGCAGCAGATTGGCTCAATGCAGTATGATGTCTGATTTTGTGACTGCTGCTTCCATGGCTGTTGATTATAGATCCAAGTAAAATGAAATCCTTGACAACTTCAATCTTTTCTTCATTTATCATGATGTTACTTATTGTTCCAGTTGTTTTCTTTATGTTGAGGTATAATCCATACTGAAGACTGGTCTTTAATCTTCATCAGTAAGTGCTTCAAGTCTTCACTTTCAGCGAGCAAGGTTGTATCATCTGTGTATTGCAGATTGTTAATGAGTCACCTCCAATCTTGATGCCACATTCTTCTTCATATAGTCCAACTCCCCAAATTATTTGCTCAGCACACAGATTGCATAAGTATGGTGAGAGGATACAACTCTGATGCACACCCTTCCTTATTTTAAACCATGCAGAATCCCCTTGTTCTGTTTGAAAAACTGCCTCTTGGTCTATATACAGGTAGGTCCCTTATGAGCGCAGTGAGATGTTCTGGGATTCCCATTCTTTGCAACGTTACTTGTAATTTATTATGATCCACACTGTTGAATGCCTTTGCATAGTTGATAAAAACAGGTAAACATCTTTCTGATATTCTTTGCTTTTAGCCAAGATCCATCTGACATCAGCAATGATATCCCTACTTCCATGTCCTCTTCTGAATCTTCTTGTCATTAAAAAAATGAACACATGTCTCTCTTTAATTTGTTTTATGATTAACTTTCAGAATTATTTGACCACTCCTCATAAAGCATGTTTCCCATCAAGTTATTTTGCCTTATTTTCAGAATTAAATATAGAATAGCAGGATTTCAGCTATTTGTATGACTGTTGGGAATTTAACTGCTAAATAATCAATAATGTGGACACTATTGGATACATGCCAAGTTTCCCTTCTTCATTGCTTTCTTTTCCTTGAGAGATTAAATGGTCATTATGGCCATTAAATGTGTCAGAGTTTGTTCAGTAGAAAACAACTAAAGACACAGTAACAGTGATTTGAGCAAGTAAGGAGTTCCTCATGTAATACATGGGATAGTCTAGATATGGCAACACCATCAGGTATCCAGACATTTTTTATCTTTCTGCTATACCATTCTAAGCATGTAGCTTTGATCCACATGGGCTAAAGATGGGCTTTGCTTCTCTAGATAACTTATGTGCATTCTACGTCCTATATAAAAAGGAAGGCAGAACACATTGTTCTGGTTACCTAGTGCTGCTTTGACAGGAATATATACCACAAATGGGATGGCCTTAAACAAATAGGAGTTTATTCTCTTACAGTGTGGGAGGCTAGAAGTTC